CTTTTTTTTTAATGCTCTAAACAATGCAATGACATGGAAAAAATACTATTTTTTTTCCTAAAATGTTTTGCCGGGTCTTAAGAGGTTAAGTCCTGAGAACATGATCATCATGTTTCATGTCAGCTCTAGGGCTATTATCGTTAAAGGAAAAAAAAAGAAGAGAACGCATAGGCTATTATGGATAGAGGACTCATATTTAAGCTGGAAGCAATGGTTTGAAGTTAAAAATGTCTTAATAATGAATTTTATTACAAATAAAGTTTAATGAGTTTGATGTACACATAGAAAAATTGTTGACAAAGTAAACATTTACTAGAATCAGGTAAGTGTTGAACTTTTGCATGGCCTCTCCACACTCTCCACACTCCAGCTCAGTTGGTGGCAGTGATGCATCGACAGAACAAGAAGTCTATTTCAGCGAGGTATCATTTCTCGCGTTCTCATTGGGTACATGCAGCTTCATTCTGATTGGCTGCAGTGCAGCACACACCGCGTCGTGAACGAGCTAAAGCGCTGCATCATAAACTGAGCATTTTGTTTGATCGCAGTAAACATAAAACACAATAAACAGCATCACTGGTTTATTTCTTTAGCTTCCAAGCGTTAGCAAAGCCTTCTAAAGGTAAGTTGTATTCTTCAGGAATAAAATGTTTGACTTTATAATTAAAGTCTTGTTCGGTTTGATGCTGAAACTGTGTATATCAATTTTAGAGTGTTTTTTCGTGTTAAAACGCCATGTGAAAATACAAGATGCATTTGAGAGGGATGAAACACTGATCATTCAAATCAGGTTTTGAGACGACTAAAAGATTTGGCTCGGCAAAAGACCTTTATAACGAAGCAGGCTTGCTAGGCCAGTGGTTTAGATTTTTGTATGCCATGTCAAAATTTTCACTGACTAACGTTACACCACAAAATAACCATGTCTTGTGTAAATCGCGGCTTCCAAGTCATTAGAAACGCCGTTGTCTTTTGGCCTCATAATTACAAACTGCAACTATGAACTAAAGAAATGTTATTACTACTGTCTACATATAGTTAGAAACCGCTACTATGTCTAAAGAAATGTTATTATGCTATGTAATATATATATATATATTTAAAACACAGCAAAACTTGTTCTAAGCTAACAAATATAATGAGTATTATGTAACTAATAGTAAAATTACTGAGAATTTATTGAAAACCAGTAAACAGACGACAATAAAATAAATATTAGAATTCAGATGTGTTTCTTTAGTTCTGACTGTGTTGAAAGTGTTTCAGTCACATTGGTGTCTTTATATGATCCAAGTTGTACTACAACTTTATAAGAAGATCTCTGGCTCTATCCACGTCTTTCTCACATCCATGTCTTCTTTACAGATGTCTTTCAACGCTGGCCATGGATGCCCGAGGGGAAGACCAGCCGCTCCGCTCCCAATGTATCGTTCTGCTCCTCCACGGTATCACTATGACCCTTCGGCTGCTCCAGGTCCTATCTATAACCCTCAAGGCGGCAGTAACTACATGCCACCTCATCCTGATTTCATGCCATTCCATTTCCCAGCACCCTCACAGGGCTCTAATGCTCTGCCCCAATGCCCCGTACGCCCACCGGTCTTCCCAGAGCCGCCTCCTTTTCCTCCACCTGCTCCTCACAACTCAGACAGCTCCGCTCCAGTTCCGGTTCAGAGCTCTTACCCTTACATGATGCCCAACGTCACCCCTCCACCGCTTCCACCTGTGCCACCCTCAGTGCCACCTTCCATGCCCTACCCGCCATCATATCCCATGAGCTACCCTCCACAGCTACAGCTCCCTCCTCCACCGAGCTTCAACCCAGCATACGTGCAGCCCGGAGGTTCCTTCAAACCTGAACGCTCCCGCCCGCCTTTGCAATACAAGTCGGACACCTGTTCCCGCTCCCCAGAAAGACTTCGTCACTATGATGACGACCACCGGCACAGGGGCCACAGCTATGGAGGATATGGAGGCCGGCATAACCGAGAGTTTGGAGGAGACAAACGGGACAGAGGGTGCAGTTCAGAGCGCAGGAGGTCAGACAGCCCACGGTATAAAGCGGACTATGAGAGAGGGCGTGTACCGTCAAGACACCGCAGCAGGTAACACACTTTACTGCGCATATTCCTCTTTTTCTGTTATCAAAAAATGATAAGACCTCTTTTGGGACCAGGCTATCATAAGCCATCTTAACATTTTCAAAGTGGCATCTGACACAGCATTTATACCTCAAAAACGCTGCAGCGAAGTGTCACAAATGCTGTTTTTTCTTTCCTAAAAACTCTAAATAACATTAGCACTTGTTCACACTGCTGCACTTGAGCACTCTAAATGTAAATCATTTGAATACAAACTAATATTAATGTTAAAATTACTACAGTTTTGACCAAAATGCTACTTCAATAATGTAATTCACTTTTAACCCCTAATATTTTTTTTCCATTGTGCAAGTGGTGACAATTAAATGTGTTGCTCTTGGACAGTTGTCACTCACAGATCCAGTTTTTAAGAAAAGCTTTACCATGCAACACAACAAATGTATCTGCCCTGATGACTTTCTGTTACGAAACAGGACGTTGATTTCATACACGTCCTCATATGAGGACACCGGGAGTAAAAGCGTGTGTATTACACATTTTGGGAGACACAACAAATGAATAGGGAAAGAAATTATATTTCAATATTCCTATGAAATATTATATATTATTATGAAAATCTTGTCAATTATTACTCCCATTATTATACTACTTTTTCATTACATGTTGCCCCAAAAACACATTAATATGCAAATTAGATTTAGTTTATGGATACATTATATATAATGAGAAAAGCTGTTTATGGCCATTTTACACACATTTTGCATAAAGACAAATGGTATATCAAATCATTCTGTTATAGCATAGTTGAGAATTATCTTTATACAAAGTTTGGTAAAAAAAAAAATCCTGAAAACTAAAAATGTATTGGTGATTTAAAAAAAAAAAAATCAATTGTTTTTGCCCATGCATGTTCATTCATGTCTTTTATTTATTTATTTTAAATGAGTCCCGATGTCCTCTTCCAAGGACGTAGCATAACTTATGAATGAAATATCTTTTTTAAAACTTTTTTTTAATGCTCTAAACAATGCAATGACATGGAAAAAATACTATTTTTTTTCCTAAAATGTTTTGCCGGGTCTTATCAATTGTTTTTGCCCATGCATGTTCATTCATGTCTTTTATTTATTTATTTTAAATGAGTCCCGATGTCCTCTTCCAAGGACGTAGCATAACTTATGAATGAAATATCTTTTTTAAAACTTTTTTTTTAATGCTCTAAACAATGCAATGACATGGAAAAAATACTATTTTTTTTCCTAAAATGTTTTGCCGGGTCTTAAGAGGTTAAGTCCTGAGAACATGATCATCATGTTTCATGTCAGCTCTAGGGCTATTATCGTTAAAGGAAAAAAAAAGAAGAGAACGCATAGGCTATTATGGATAGAGGACTCATATTTAAGCTGGAAGCAATGGTTTGAAGTTAAAAATGTCTTAATAATGAATTTTATTACAAATAAAGTTTAATGAGTTTGATGTACACATAGAAAAATTGTTGACAAAGTAAACATTTACTAGAATCAGGTAAGTGTTGAACTTTTGCATGGCCTCTCCACACTCTCCACACTCCAGCTCAGTTGGTGGCAGTGATGCATCGACAGAACAAGAAGTCTATTTCAGCGAGGTATCATTTCTCGCGTTCTCATTGGGTACATGCAGCTTCATTCTGATTGGCTGCAGTGCAGCACACACCGCGTCGTGAACGAGCTAAAGCGCTGCATCATAAACTGAGCATTTTGTTTGATCGCAGTAAACATAAAACACAATAAACAGCATCACTGGTTTATTTCTTTAGCTTCCAAGCGTTAGCAAAGCCTTCTAAAGGTAAGTTGTATTCTTCAGGAATAAAATGTTTGACTTTATAATTAAAGTCTTGTTCGGTTTGATGCTGAAACTGTGTATATCAATTTTAGAGTGTTTTTTCGTGTTAAAACGCCATGTGAAAATACAAGATGCATTTGAGAGGGATGAAACACTGATCATTCAAATCAGGTTTTGAGACGACTAAAAGATTTGGCTCGGCAAAAGACCTTTATAACGAAGCAGGCTTGCTAGGCCAGTGGTTTAGATTTTTGTATGCCATGTCAAAATTTTCACTGACTAACGTTACACCACAAAATAACCATGTCTTGTGTAAATCGCGGCTTCCAAGTCATTAGAAACGCCGTTGTCTTTTGGCCTCATAATTACAAACTGCAACTATGAACTAAAGAAATGTTATTACTACTGTCTACATATAGTTAGAAACCGCTACTATGTCTAAAGAAATGTTATTATGCTATGTAATATATATATATATATTTAAAACACAGCAAAACTTGTTCTAAGCTAACAAATATAATGAGTATTATGTAACTAATAGTAAAATTACTGAGAATTTATTGAAAACCAGTAAACAGACGACAATAAAATAAATATTAGAATTCAGATGTGTTTCTTTAGTTCTGACTGTGTTGAAAGTGTTTCAGTCACATTGGTGTCTTTATATGATCCAAGTTGTACTACAACTTTATAAGAAGATCTCTGGCTCTATCCACGTCTTTCTCACATCCATGTCTTCTTTACAGATGTCTTTCAACGCTGGCCATGGATGCCCGAGGGGAAGACCAGCCGCTCCGCTCCCAATGTATCGTTCTGCTCCTCCACGGTATCACTATGACCCTTCGGCTGCTCCAGGTCCTATCTATAACCCTCAAGGCGGCAGTAACTACATGCCACCTCATCCTGATTTCATGCCATTCCATTTCCCAGCACCCTCACAGGGCTCTAATGCTCTGCCCCAATGCCCCGTACGCCCACCGGTCTTCCCAGAGCCGCCTCCTTTTCCTCCACCTGCTCCTCACAACTCAGACAGCTCCGCTCCAGTTCCGGTTCAGAGCTCTTACCCTTACATGATGCCCAACGTCACCCCTCCACCGCTTCCACCTGTGCCACCCTCAGTGCCACCTTCCATGCCCTACCCGCCATCATATCCCATGAGCTACCCTCCACAGCTACAGCTCCCTCCTCCACCGAGCTTCAACCCAGCATACGTGCAGCCCGGAGGTTCCTTCAAACCTGAACGCTCCCGCCCGCCTTTGCAATACAAGTCGGACACCTGTTCCCGCTCCCCAGAAAGACTTCGTCACTATGATGACGACCACCGGCACAGGGGCCACAGCTATGGAGGATATGGAGGCCGGCATAACCGAGAGTTTGGAGGAGACAAACGGGACAGAGGGTGCAGTTCAGAGCGCAGGAGGTCAGACAGCCCACGGTATAAAGCGGACTATGAGAGAGGGCGTGTACCGTCAAGACACCGCAGCAGGTAACACACTTTACTGCGCATATTCCTCTTTTTCTGTTATCAAAAAATGATAAAATTTTTAAATGTAACCATTTAATGCCAAATATTTGTTACCTGTCTGTGGGCCAGACGGTTTAGAGGACGAGAACTAACATGCTCATGTTAGTTCTGTGTAGAAATGAAAATGAAATAAATCACTCTTTGTTTGCAATGATGAATAAATAAAAAATCAATACATTTTTAAGGCAGTCCGTAACGTCTTGCAATTACATACTCTAGATGCATGTATACTGTTTCTCTAATGGTATTTTAGTGTTTTGTGGAGGTGGGCAATATTGTAGAAGTGAAGGGGTAAAGACATGTCAAGGTGGTTTATTTAATTAGCAGTTTTGTGTTTACGTTCAGAGTGTGGAAAATTGCTGTTCCTTTTGATTTTGTTTTCATTTCAGAGCATAAGAATAAGCAAATACACAAACAGTGTTAGCTATGTCACTCAGCCCTAACTCTAAAAGAAAGATGAATTTGTTGTGTGTTGTGCAGATGTGAGCTCCAGCGAATCAGAATGTGATTCTGATGGAGGCGGTAGCAGCTGCTCCAGCAGCTCTGACTCTGAGGTGTTTGATGTCATTGCTGAGATCAAGAGAAAGAAAGCTCATCCTGACCGCCTCCATGAGGAGCTGTGGTACAATGACCCTGGACAGGTGCGCTTCACCATTTTGCTGAGAAATTATGGTGGTTTTGCTCAAAAAGCCATTTTAAGCTAGCGATACATAAAAATAAGTAGACCCTATAGGCAAAAAACAAAACAAAAACACATCCATTTAAAATTTGTAATAACTAAACAAATTATATTATTATAAGACTGTTGTAGATTGTTTCTTGCATTGCTGTGGCACAGACAAATAATGTGGACAATAATGTTAAAATGCCAGTGGTAGTAAAGGGATAGATCACCCAAAAATGAAAATTCTGTCATCATATACTCATCCTCATGTCATTCGAAACTCATAAGACTTTGATTAGTCTTCAGAACTCAAATTTAGAGATTGTTTTTAGAGGTTTCTGTCCCTTGAGTGAAAGTTCAGGTAACCAAAACTTAAATATCCAAGTGGGTTATATAAGCATTGTAAAACAAATCCAAATGAATTGCCTTCTATGGAACACTTCACTGAGTGGTTTAATTAAGTCTTGTGACAAGATACAATTGCTTTCTATGATGAAAAGGTTTAATATAGACTTTTACTTGCATCTGTTCATCATATAATGTGATTTTTATCTTTTTATAAGACTTGGATTTAAGTTTTATGTTTGGAATGTGAAGGTAAGTAAGTGATGACAGATTTTTCTTGTTTTTTCCTATATCTATTTTTTTAGGTGAACTGTCACGTAAACCAAATGTGTTATTCATGTAGCTAGCTATAAACGTCAACAGTTTATCTAACTTTTAACTGACTTGTTCGGCAACGTTCTCTTCCAGCAGTAGTACTTATCTATGTCACATCCAGTAATGTTTTTTCAGAACTGATTCAAAGTGGGAAAAAGAGTTCCTAAAATTAACCATTAGTTCTGAAATGATGACATTTTGCTTAAGTGTTAACTGTTTGATTTGTGTGTATTTTCTCGCTTAAACTAAAGTTACAGTTATTCTTGTGTTTAAAACTCAGATGAACGATGGACCGTTATGCAAGTGCAGTGCCAAAGCCAGGCGAACTGGAATCCGACACAGTATTTATCCTGGTGAACAGGTATGCGTGCATTCATTCAATCACTTCATCTGTTTTAGATCCATATTTAGGGCCCAAGCCACTAAGGCGCAGGGCCCTATTGATCCCCTAAGGATTATTAGGGCCCAAGCCACTAAGGCGCAGGGCCCTATTGATCCCCTAAGGATTATTAGGGCCCAAGCCACTAAGGCGCAGGGACCTATTGATCCCCTAAGGATTATTTTCATTTTTTCGATTATCCGGGGCTTTTTAGGGGCCTTAACATACTCAAAAACTGAAAATTGGCGCACACGTTGAAATCTGCGGCCATTAGCATGCCGCAGAAGCTGGGACCCGAGCGTGGCACAGGGGCTCTACGGCGCCCCCTGGAACACAATCAGAAAACTTGATGTATATCTCACACATACTTGCACATATTCATATGAAACTCTGTACACATATAGATCTCATTGAGACGAACAACTTTTGATATATTTGTCATAGGTTTTTTACCCGATTGCCACCAAACTCTGTGAACATGATCTCAAGACATTGGGGATGCTAAATTGCGAAGGGATTTTTTGCGATGAAGTTATGATGAGAAATGAGAAACAGGAAGTGTCTAATAACTTCCACATACATTGTCTGATTTTGATTAAACATCACTGGTTTGTTCGTTGTATGATGCCAATCTCGTAGATGTGACTATTATGAGTCAAAGTTATAGCGCCACCAACTGGCAGCAGGAAGTGTGCCATTTTCAAAATGCTTTGAGTTCAGTATCTTATTTTTACTCTATTTGCTTCAAACTTCATCAGAGTAATGTCAAAACACGGCAGATGTAAACCTCTGGAGAGATTATTGAGATCTTAAATACTGTTGCCATGGCAATGTGTCAAACTTCAACATTTGTTTCCTGTGTTGTTTAGGCAGATAACATGCTTAGAATTTCATGAAACTCAACACACACATCAGCGTTAATGATAATTAGACACTAGCAAAAGCTCATAAATGGGCGTGGAGGAGGCGCTCTATAGCGCCACCTTTTGTCAAAAGTTGGGAGTTTAGTTTTAGCTACAGGCACCAATCTAGGTACATATAATGTTCTCATCAAGCCGGACAACTTTATAATTAACACTCATCAGCTACGACCAACAGGAAGTCAGCTATTTTGCTTTGAATGTGGATTTTTGGAAAAATCAGGCAGTTTCAATTTAAAGTTCACATCTAGCCAAGTACAGTTCAAATCCCCGGATGTGTTCTTGCTCCGCCCCTTTTATCAAGGATGCATCCAGAGGTAACTTGTAGGCAGCCAGGTATCCCAGAATGCATTTTGCACCAATCAGCCAGCGTTAATGGTGGAGGGGAAAACCAGCTTAATTTTCAAAATATTAATGTTATTGTGTCATGAAATGCAGTTCTAAGAGTATTTCAGGTGAGAATGTAGTTGTTTAAACCTCAAATCTTTGGTTTATTTATAAAAATATCGCCTATTTGAAAATTTGCTTCACCGATTTCGGAGACGTGATATCCACGCGATCAGCGGGCGCTCAGTGCTCATTTTTCCCGACAAGAGCAGCCTATCCTCGGCTAGTCCTTCTGACACTTGCCGCTGCCGCTAGTGATGGCGAAACGAAGCCTCATGAAGCATTGAAGCTTTTCAGCCAAGTGGTTCACAAAAGGGTTCATTTCTCGAGGCTTCATTTGCTCACAATACCACCTGGTGGCCAAAGAGTGTAAAACAAGCAGATACATTACAGATGACCTGATGTGGTCTGTGATGCACTGTATTTTGTGTCAGTTAAGGCTTAGAAATCCACATAGACTAATCGGTTTATGAATATAATGTGTATTTTCTAGTGGTATATAATGATTGTATAACATAATATAACATAACTGTGTAATAAACGTATTGGCTTGAAATAATAGGCAGGAGGGCCAATATTATTAGTCTAAAACTGAGTTTAACAGGGCAGAGGACCATGAATTTACAAGATTCTAACCGCTTCCTTAACCAGTCTGGCCAAGCGAGGCTTCGGACGTCATCAATGACGTCATTGCTCTAAAGCGATACAAGCCTCGATATGCGCTTCACTGAAAGCTGCCGGGATTTCTCGACACACGCTCCGAAGCCTTAGCACAGAACGTAACATCACTAGCTGGCTCTGATGTCTCTGTAGTGGTTAAACATGAGGTCAAATTAATTTTGGGTAGCCAGTAGCCTATATCTAACAGGTAATCTTTGGTCTCATTAATCTATTATTTCTTGCAGGTAATTTTGTTTTGGCTGAGCACAAAGTTATGTTTCATAAATTATTTATTTATTAATCGTAATACAGCGCTGACTTTGTTGCATACATTTGACTGAATTGTTTGCTTTTGTCTTTATTTCCTATTACATAAGTCTCTTATACTTTATACTTATACTTTTATAATGGCTATTATTGTCCATTAAAACTGACGTTTAACAAAAAAGGCAGAGTTGTGCTTGTCATATTTCATTTTGTGATGAATACAGTGAAGATAATCTGAGTATATGTGCACATATTACCTAAACCACATATTAATGTTTTATATTTTTAAAATGAAAACGAAAAGAGGGTTGTGTTTTATATTTTGAAGAAAACGAAAAGGCAGTGGTGTTTGATATCATTTCATTTTATTGTAATGCATGAACCACATTTTTGAGGGTATTAATATTTTAAATGAAACCGAAAAGAGGCAATGCTGTTTGATATAATATTTTGTTTCACTGTAATGTATGTACGTTCCTACATTTTTGCAAATAATAATACGTTTAAATGAAAACAAAAAGAGGCAGTGGTGTTTGATATCATATTTCTTCATATTGTAAATGCATACAGTGTAGATAACCGGATTAGCCAAGGCGAGCTGACTGACGTTATCAAGTACGCTGCTGTTCCATTTGCAGAATTACCGGACTTGTGTCCCCCTGTCCTCGGGAGTTCGCACTCCCGAGTCGAACTTGCTAAGTCCGAACTACCGAGGACGCAAGTCTGAACTTTGCTTACTTGGTATTGAGAAACGGCCTTTGTCTACATGATGCCAAGATACTGAAGATACTAAATTGCGAACGGATTTTGAATATCTTGAATGGTGTTCAGTTGGGATACAAATTTCCTTTTCCCACTTTTCTTTAATATACTCCGTAGAATGGCCTTTAATATCTTGAATGCAGGTATATAAACCAGATATTAATCATTTTTCACAAGTATTTGTATTATACACTTTAATGAACATATTTATCAAAGGGGAATAATCATTTGTTACTCTTCTGATTTTCATATCATAATAGTGTCTAACTTGTAAAAACCTATAAAAATCCTGTTTCTCCAGACCAAATTTGATCATTTAAATTCTGAAATTTATTAGGGCCCAAGCCACTAAGGCGCAGGGCCCTATTGATCCCCTAAGGATTATTAGGGCCCAAGCCACTAAGGCGCAGGGACCTATTGATCCCCTAAGGATTATTTTCATTTTTTCGATTATCCGGGGCTTTTTAGGGGCCTTAACATACTCAAAAACTGAAAATTGGCGCACACGTTGAAATCTGCGGCCATTAGCATGCCGCAGAAGCTGGGACCCGAGCGTGGCACAGGGGCTCTACGGCGCCCCCTGGAACACAATCAGAAAACTTGATGTATATCTCACACATACTTGCACATATTCATATGAAACTCTGTACACATATAGATCTCATTGAGACGAACAACTTTTGATATATTTGTCATAGGTTTTTTACCCGATTGCCACCAAACTCTGTGAACATGATCTCAAGACATTGGGGATGCTAAATTGCGAAGGGATTTTTTGCGATGAAGTTATGATGAGAAATGAGAAACAGGAAGTGTCTAATAACTTCCACATACATTGTCTGATTTTGATTAAACATCACTGGTTTGTTCGTTGTATGATGCCAATCTCGTAGATGTGACTATTATGAGTCAAAGTTATAGCGCCACCAACTGGCAGCAGGAAGTGTGCCATTTTCAAAATGCTTTGAGTTCAGTATCTTATTTTTACTCTATTTGCTTCAAACTTCATCAGAGTAATGTCAAAACACGGCAGATGTAAACCTCTGGAGAGATTATTGAGATCTTAAATACTGTTGCCATGGCAATGTGTCAAACTTCAACATTTGTTTCCTGTGTTGTTTAGGCAGATAACATGCTTAGAATTTCATGAAACTCAACACACACATCAGCGTTAATGATAATTAGACACTAGCAAAAGCTCATAAATGGGCGTGGAGGAGGCGCTCTATAGCGCCACCTTTTGTCAAAAGTTGGGAGTTTAGTTTTAGCTACAGGCACCAATCTAGGTACATATAATGTTCTCATCAAGCCGGACAACTTTATAATTAACACTCATCAGCTACGACCAACAGGAAGTCAGCTATTTTGCTTTGAATGTGGATTTTTGGAAAAATCAGGCAGTTTCAATTTAAAGTTCACATCTAGCCAAGTACAGTTCAAATCCCCGGATGTGTTCTTGCTCCGCCCCTTTTATCAAGGATGCATCCAGAGGTAACTTGTAGGCAGCCAGGTATCCCAGAATGCATTTTGCACCAATCAGCCAGCGTTAATGGTGGAGGGGAAAACCAGCTTAATTTTCAAAATATTAATGTTATTGTGTCATGAAATGCAGTTCTAAGAGTATTTCAGGTGAGAATGTAGTTGTTTAAACCTCAAATCTTTGGTTTATTTATAAAAATATCGCCTATTTGAAAATTTGCTTCACCGATTTCGGAGACGTGATATCCACGCGATCAGCGGGCGCTCAGTGCTCATTTTTCCCGACAAGAGCAGCCTATCCTCGGCTAGTCCTTCTGACACTTGCCGCTGCCGCTAGTGATGGCGAAACGAAGCCTCATGAAGCATTGAAGCTTTTCAGCCAAGTGGTTCACAAAAGGGTTCATTTCTCGAGGCTTCATTTGCTCACAATACCACCTGGTGGCCAAAGAGTGTAAAACAAGCAGATACATTACAGATGACCTGATGTGGTCTGTGATGCACTGTATTTTGTGTCAGTTAAGGCTTAGAAATCCACATAGACTAATCGGTTTATGAATATAATGTGTATTTTCTAGTGGTATATAATGATTGTATAACATAATATAACATAACTGTGTAATAAACGTATTGGCTTGAAATAATAGGCAGGAGGGCCAATATTATTAGTCTAAAACTGAGTTTAACAGGGCAGAGGACCATGAATTTACAAGATTCTAACCGCTTCCTTAACCAGTCTGGCCAAGCGAGGCTTCGGACGTCATCAATGACGTCATTGCTCTAAAGCGATACAAGCCTCGATATGCGCTTCACTGAAAGCTGCCGGGATTTCTCGACACACGCTCCGAAGCCTTAGCACAGAACGTAACATCACTAGCTGGCTCTGATGTCTCTGTAGTGGTTAAACATGAGGTCAAATTAATTTTGGGTAGCCAGTAGCCTATATCTAACAGGTAATCTTTGGTCTCATTAATCTATTATTTCTTGCAGGTAATTTTGTTTTGGCTGAGCACAAAGTTATGTTTCATAAATTATTTATTTATTAATCGTAATACAGCGCTGACTTTGTTGCATACATTTGACTGAATTGTTTGCTTTTGTCTTTATTTCCTATTACATAAGTCTCTTATACTTTATACTTATACTTTTATAATGGCTATTATTGTCCATTAAAACTGACGTTTAACAAAAAAGGCAGAGTTGTGCTTGTCATATTTCATTTTGTGATGAATACAGTGAAGATAATCTGAGTATATGTGCACATATTACCTAAACCACATATTAATGTTTTATATTTTTAAAATGAAAACGAAAAGAGGGTTGTGTTTTATATTTTGAAGAAAACGAAAAGGCAGTGGTGTTTGATATCATTTCATTTTATTGTAATGCATGAACCACATTTTTGAGGGTATTAATATTTTAAATGAAACCGAAAAGAGGCAATGCTGTTTGATATAATATTTTGTTTCACTGTAATGTATGTACGTTCCTACATTTTTGCAAATAATAATACGTTTAAATGAAAACAAAAAGAGGCAGTGGTGTTTGATATCATATTTCTTCATATTGTAAATGCATACAGTGTAGATAACCGGATTAGCCAAGGCGAGCTGACTGACGTTATCAAGTACGCTGCTGTTCCATTTGCAGAATTACCGGACTTGTGTCCCCCTGTCCTCGGGAGTTCGCACTCCCGAGTCGAACTTGCTAAGTCCGAACTACCGAGGACGCAAGTCTGAACTTTGCTTACTTGGTATTGAGAAACGGCCTTTGTCTACATGATGCCAAGATACTGAAGATACTAAATTGCGAACGGATTTTGAATATCTTGAATGGTGTTCAGTTGGGATACAAATTTCCTTTTCCCACTTTTCTTTAATATACTCCGTAGAATGGCCTTTAATATCTTGAATGCAGGTATATAAACCAGATATTAATCATTTTTCACAAGTATTTGTATTATACACTTTAATGAACATATTTATCAAAGGGGAATAATCATTTGTTACTCTTCTGATTTTCATATCATAATAGTGTCTAACTTGTAAAAACCTATAAAAATCCTGTTTCTCCAGACCAAATTTGATCATTTAAATTCTGAAATTCCTGAATTTCTACCTTTGATATAATAGAACAGTAAGCAGTGTGTTTCACAGTCTTGATGGTTTGGATGAACCCTTTCATTGCTTTATCCCTTCAAACCAGACTGCCAGCGGGTTACTGTAAATGCATGTGACCGCTGTGCACCGTTCTCCTGATGCCACCAGGGTGGCGTTTGCGCTGATGGCTTGGGCCCGCCATCGCTGCTTGCAGCTATATTTAGATTTGTATTTGCTTATACACCGTTATATGCAAACATTTGAAATTTAAAAGTGTCTGGAATTTGGAATTGAGACAACTAGTGGAAAACGATTTATTCTGTAAAATATAAAAAGCACAAACAGAAGGAGAGAAGCTTTGGAAGCCTGTGTTGAGTTTTAAAAATCAGGAATTTTCTGGGATGATACAGTTTATTAAACCCTTAATAAGTATCGAAATTTTTGCATGAATGGGCTAAATGATTGCAAGTCTCTGATGGGCCTATATAGTGAGGTGTTGATAGTAAATATTCGCACATGTGGTGCTCCAGTTGAACTCAAACTCTACATTGACAAGTGTTTTGTGAGCCAAGTGCTGCATTAGGGGACATTCACACAGGACACCAGATTTGGAGCAATGGAAGTAAATCTGGGAATCTCAGTATGCATTTTTTCAAAGATTAACTCAATTTAACTGGTCAACAATCACTGAATAGAATGGACCAAGATGTCGGTCATTAGGGGTCTGTGTAGGATGTTTTTTTTCTGGATTTTAGTTCCCCAGAATTCAAAGTTCTCCCACCTGCTCTGCCCTGAGCCATCTTGTACCTAATCACCAAGAAGACATCTAGAGCTTTTTTGCATCAACAAAGGACCAGGACCAGTCTGACACAACACAACATTTGCTGTTCTTTAGATGGGAGATGTGAGGACCAGGGACTCTGAAGTGGGTTTGTCTGACTGGACTGGTGATGAAAGGAGTCTAGATTACAGTATGATTCAACTGCGGGTAATTGAGCCTTTAAGGAGTGGATAGCGTGGTGCAATAGCGCAGGTGCCAAAGAAAGATAGTGGACTGTGGGTTTGAGTCAGGGGTGTCAAATTCAGTTCCTGGAGGGCCACTGTCTTGCAAAGTTTAGCTTCAACTCTAAATAAACAAACCTGAACCAGCTAATCAAGGTCTTTATGATTACTAGAAACTTCCAGGCAGGGGTTTTAGTCTGGTTGGAACTACACACTGCAGGACAGTGGCACTCCACTGTTTGACACATCTAAGCTTAACTTTAGGGGTGGACGGTTCGTGGAATTTTATATCCTCGATGCAGTATTTTCAAATTACAGGTAAAATATACCTTAAGATACGCTTCACAGATCTATTTGAGACCAGCACATTTTTAGGGCCAGAGTTGAACCAATGTGCCTGGGACTAGCACCGGACCCACATCAGAAAACTGTTAAAAGTGGACACTGTTCTCTTTTTGTTCTCCCACTTAAACCAAAAAGAGAGTGAGGTTAATAGGCTGCTATAAGAGGTTTATACGTATTTTTTTTAGCCAAGCTGTTGCGCCTACTGAAAATGCATTCACGGTGTGAATGGACCACTCATCTGTGATATTTGTTTTTGTGCATTGTGTCGAATTTGGCCTAAAAGGCCTTTTGTCTGTCAGTTTATTTGTAGGATATTTCACAGAATTTTTGCTAATTAGTTTTTTGTCAAAGGGGTCATATGATGCTGCTAAAAAGAACATTTATTTTGTGTATTTGGTGTAATGAAATGCGTTTATGCAGTTGTTAATAAAGAATAACAATTTGGTCCCTTTGTAAATTCTCTTTGCCACCGTGAACTTTTCTCAGTCTCCTTAAAGTGTAAATACGGCCGGGAAGTAAGAAAACACACAGTCAAATGTATCCTCAATACTTCAATTTATTCATAGAAATACAGATATTATATAGGCATATGTCGAGGGGAGTTTCATCCTCTTAACCAATGAGGATATGAATAACATACACGTAGGATCTTTGGCCAAGAACATGTGTTTATATAAAATGGCCACATGTACAGAAAAACATGGACATAGTCTAATTTTGTTGTCTGTTGATTTTTATTGCTGTATAATTCAGAAACTATTTTTAGTTTGATTTAGATATGTGGTTGCCCCACACAAAATTACTATTTTCAAATTGTACTAATCAACATAGAAGCTACAGTATATCAGCGTTATTATAATTGTGGATTCCTAGGAATTCAGTTTTATTCTGAGAGTAAAATGTTGTGTTTATGCTTTTGTTGTTTAGTGTTATTTAAACCCAGCATTTCCATTGCAGTGATTTTGATTGTTATAAAGGTCAGTCATTTGTCTGGGTTGTCAGACTGATTGGATTGGTCAGCAACTTTTCTTTCTCTTATAGCCAGTGAAATCATGCCGGCCGATGAGTAACAATTCTGGCAAACTGTTCCACTACAGAATAACTGTGTCACCACCCACCAACTTCCTAGTAGGTTTCTATGCCATTTTCATTTTTTCCTGTTCTGTTCTTATATTGTTTCTGCCTGTGAATATAATTGGTTCTCTCCCTCTCAGACAGATAGACCCACGGTTATCGAGTATGACGATCATGAGTACCTGTTTGAGGGCTTTTCCTGCTTTTCTCACACACCACTTACTAATGTAAGCATGTGATTTCTGCATGGTTGCAGTCAGACCTAATAACTCGATTATTATATGGTCCTTAGTTTTTGTGAATAAACAACAATAAAAAAACTATCTAAATCATCTAAACTTGTCTGTTTTAACCTGCACAAAAGAACAGCAGACAAGAAATTGTGTAACTGTTCGTAAAATAAACTCCACTCATAGGAATTATATCAGCAGCACATAACCAGACGTCTATCTGCTTATAACCGTAGTTCAACAGCTAAAAGAACAATTTATACTTTTGGGCTCAGATTTACTAACAACTTGTCTCAGTGCAAACACTGCCAGGATAAACTAAAGATATGCTGACTGGCCTTATCGCATATGCTTTTGTAGGATTTTCCCTTTCAAACGCAACATTTATGGGAGGAAAGTATTAAAATAAAACATGCAACGTCATTTACTAAGTTTTGCGTTAGTCAATTTACTAGTATTTGTGCCATTATTTAACTCCCAAAAAAGCATGTCTTTGCCCATTTTGCCCTCTATATAGCTACTATAGTTGCTAATTTGGGCTGAGTTGGTCATTATGGAAATGAGTTGTCTGTGTTCTTTAATTTGTGCATCGTCAGTAGATCATCCGCAAAAATTTCCATTCCCATTGGTGCTTTTATGGGATTGTGGTTTCAATCCAAGTTCAATCTTTTAGTTAAGGTTATGTTATTGTTAAATAAGGTTATGCTTAATGTTCAATTTGTCATTCACTAACCTCTGTTGTTTCAAACCTATATGACTTGTTTTCTTCTGTGCAGACATCAGTGGTTTAACCATAATTTTATGAAGCTACAAGTTACTTTTTGTTGTAGCTTCATAAAATTAAGGTTGAACCACTGATGTCACATGGACTATTTTAACAAGTACATTCAAGTGTTGTTTTGAGCATAAAGTTCTAATTGCAGAAAATAAATGTCACTTTTAGAAGATGAGCAATTTTTTATCAGACATAATTTCTGGTTTTAAACCATTGCAAATGTCCCACATATCTCCCACCCAGACTAACTGTTCCCACCCCCTTTAGATCCCTTTGTGTCGGGTTATTCGCTTCAACATCGATTACACCATCCACTTTATAGAAGAGATGGCACCTGAGGTATGTATCACCCCACATTATCAGATTTCACTGTCCACATTTTCTTCAGTTCACTGTAATCATCTTCTGTAAATGTTAGTTACTGTGAATAACATTTTTATGCACATACTTAATTGCATACGATTAATATATACAATTAAAATTCTCATAATGAGACAAACATATCTTGACGCTTTGACTTAATTTATTAATGAAACTGATTTTCATTTTAGTTTTGTTTCTTTTTTTTATTGACATTTTTAATGCTATTTCAGACATATTGGTTGTTTCTAACACAAGTGACATGACCCATAAATGCTCAGCTATTGTAATCTGTTGTGTTTGACCAGAACTACTGCGTTAAAGGCCTGGAACTGTTTTCCTCGTACCTCTTTAAAGACATCTTGGAGTTATATGATTGGAATCTCACAGGTAACATGCACACGCACATTTAACTCTACACAAGCACACCATAAGCTTATAAGCCATAGTAATATAGATTTGCTGTCACACAGGTCCTGATGAAAACGGCCAGTCAGGTTGTCAGAGGTTTCATTTTATGCCACGGTTCGTTCGGTGCCTCCCAGGTGAGTTTTAAATACCCTTCTGTCCATTTCACTCATGAACAAAAAAAATTATTGGGGGAAAAAAAAAAGTTTGAGCCGTATTTTAAACGTAAATTTGACAGATGACTCGCCAATATATTAGAGAATAGTTAATTTATACAGTAGAGAGAATGCTTCATCACTATGATTGATGTTGTGGTGTCTGCTCATGTGTGTCAGATGGAGGAAAGGAGGTGCTGTCCATGCACCAGGTGCTGCTGTATCTGCTGCGCAGCAGCCCGGCTCTAGTTCCTGAAGAGGAGATCGCCAACATGCTTCAGTGGGAGGAGCTGGAGTGGCAGAAATACGCTGAGGAGTGCAAGGGCATGATTGTCACCAACCCTGGCTTGGTAAAACACATTCTCACAAACAATGGCATGATGTCAGGTGAGCAGACTGAATGTTCAAGTGCCTGTGAATGACACCGAGGAAGATGAGGAGCCTTTTTTAATGTGAGAAAATACTGTACAATAAATAAATAATAGTGACAGATACATTTAGTATGTGAATAGAGTCTTTCTGCACTGACATCAGTAGCCAAAAGCTTTTGCATGATTGTGCATCCACACTAAGTTAAAGTCCAAGGTCATGTCATGAAAACAAATTTGCACTTTAAATGTGTGCTTGTGAATGTGCCTGTATTCACACAGAAACCCAGCTCTGTGAGGATTGACCAGTTAGATCGTGAGCAGTTCAATTCCAGTGTCATCACTTTCCCCATCATAGTGCATTTTGGGATACGACCTGCACAGCTTAGCTACGCTGGAGACCCGCAGTAAGTCTGATTGAGCACACACAGTGAGTTATTGCTAATAATGATTGTATTAATAGTATATTACTGAAAAGGTGAAACACTGCAGTTTACTGCTTTCATTGCAGGTATCAAAAGTTGTGGAAGAGTTATGTGAAATTGCGGCACTTGCTGGCCAACAGCCCGAAGGTTAAACAAATTGACAAACAGAAGTTAACGCAAAGAGAGGTAAGTGTCTCCACACATGATTTATGTACATAGAAATAGCTAATGTGATAAAGACACCTTAAAATAATAAATATGATCATTATGGAAGGGTAGCATGAAGTTCTTTTTCATAAAAACAAAAGTGCATTAACCGAATGAACAGTTTGAAGAGTGGCAAGACGTTTTAATACAGTACATTGTGGTTTGAGGAAGTGTAGGTTCATTGTCATAATGGTGTAAATACTGTGTCCAAAAACTGATTTACAGGAAGCTCTGCAGAAGATCAGGCAGAAGAATACGATGAGAAGGGAGGTCACAGTGGAGCTCAGCAGTCAGGGTTTCTGGAAGACTGGTATCCGCTCTGATGTTTGCCAGGTACACATATACACACATTCACTTCAGAACATGTGTTTAGAGAAATTAAACAAAATGAAGATGTATGTTATATGTACAGTATCGTAAATGCCTGAGAACATGAAGTGCACATTTAGAAAGCACAAAAAATAATGATCTGCTGCATTACATTTATGGATGTGCAGTTTCTGTGTTACCAAATGTTTGTCTATTTTATTGAAGACTTTTTTCTCTATTATGACTGTAAACAATTATTAGTTAACAAACAAATTAGACAATAGCAGAGAATAGTGTTAATTCTGTGTTAAACATGTAATGTAACCTATAAGGCTGTTTATAAATTGATTTAAGATTATACAATTATAATAATCATTGTGCTTTTTTTGTTTTATGTCTGATGGACCATGTAAAAACATGAAAAAAAAAGGCATTTTAAAGGTCATTCATTGAATCTTAGGCAGGTTTTGGGGCAAACATTTGAGTCAGATGCCTTATTTTTGCAGCACGCCATGATGCTGCCGGTTCTCACTCACCACATCCGCTACCACCAGTGCCTGATGCATTTAGACAAGCTGATCGGTTACATGTTCAAGGAACGATGCTTGCTGCAGGTAAGAGAAAGTGTAAAGACTTTTCAGTGTAGGGTTGTTTTTCATTCTGAAAAATTGCAGCACATGTTACCAGGGCTGCAGAAGAAGAATTTAGTAGTTCAGGTTTTTCCTTGCTCTGCCAGTATTTTCTCTGGCTCCACCAAAGAAAAAAACAAATTTTATTTTCATTGATATGTGCCAGAAAAATTATTTATTTATAATGCTGAATATAAAACATTTGTCATGTTGTTGTTTTTTTGTTTTTTTTAAGAAAAATGAACTAAATTTGAACTAAACAGCTGGAAATTAAAAACTAAATAGCTATAATGTAACCATAGTGTATAACTCCACAACCGGTTTAAATTTGTTTACTCCGATTATGTTGGCTCCAGAAGCGCTCCACTGATCTGAACTTTATGGCAGAGAGGCCAGATGGAAGTCTTTCCTTAGTTAAGATGCATTAAAGTCCACTTGGAATTTGCAAAGAAGCAGGTAAAGGACTATCAAAGCAAGATTTTTGGAATTGAAGCCTTAAGTATATAATTTGGGATTACAGCTGGAAATGAACCCACTATAATGTAACTCCACAACAGTTCCACACATCCAGAAATGAAAAATTATGGCATACGATGCAAAATATTACTGGTTGAATCTACTGGTTCTTATCTTTGTTAGTCGGCTGGATAATGTTGCTTCAGTGACGTATTTAAATGAACACAATTTTCAACAAAAGTCTAAGAAAGCAGTGTAAATCTCTGTTCTTACAGAACAGATTTCAGTTATGCTTGTTGTTGGGTGTTCAGTCCTGCATAGCTACAAGTATGTGTGTTATATTTTAGCATGTAGCTGTAGGTATTTAATGGTCATAAAAGGTCACTATACGGTGTTCAGTGGCTGTTGATGTTTGGTTTCACGTTATGCATTATAACTCTCACTTTGCTTTTCTTTTGCTTTTCTTTCTTTCCCAGTTGGCAATGACTCACCCCAGTCATCATCTTAATTTTGGGATGAATCCTGACCATGCTCGCAACTCTCTGTCAAATTGTGGCATACGCCAGCCCAAATATGGAGACCGGAAAGTGCATCATATGTACATGAGGAAAAAGGGTTAGCAAAGCTCTCTGTACATGTGTTTGAGAGCTTTTTTTGAAGAAGTAGCCCTACTCTAATAATGGTTTTGCCCTTTTTTTCCCTAGGAATTAACACCTTGATTAATATTATGTCAAGATTGGGCCAGGATGATCCATCACCCTCCAGGTTTGTGTATTTTATTGTATTATTTTATTTTAGTCAAGTCATTTGTTTCTTGTGTTGGTGATCATTTATGAATTTAAAAATTTTTAAAAGGCAGTTGAAATATAACAACTAAAGGGTGTAATCCCTGTCCTTTTAACAGAATCAATCATAATGAGCGCTTGGAGTTTCTTGGTGATGCAGTTGTTGAGTTCCTGACCAGGTGAGACCTCTTAATTTTCAACAGTGCTGTAAATCTGTCATTACATAGAGCATGCCTCACTGAGTTTAGCTTTTGAAGCTTTTGTTGTACTCGCCTGTTATAGTCATATGTTTGTCTTTGTTTTTTAGTGTGCATCTCTATTACCTGTTCCCAAACCTGGAGGAGGGAGGACTCGCCACATATCGCACTGCAATTGTTCAGAATCAGCATCTTGCTATGCTTGCTAAGGTAAATGTTTACTAGATATTAGAGATAATCCAAAAATTCAGCACACTGTAAATTATAGCTCCAAAAGCATTTTTTTGTTATTATTTGTAGTTTAATTTATCATTTGTATCTTTTTTTTGTCCTGCGCCTTAACCCAGCAAACATGATACCCAAAACGATAAAAACAATATTGCCCACATGCCACTAGGGTTGGGCCAATAGACGATGCCATCGTCCATCGCCGATGGCTGACAGACATCACGATGTTGAGCCGGCATCATGATTCCCCCCCGCCCCCTCCCCCCCAACATTCCCCCAGCATTCCGCCGCATCCCAATTCCGTGTTCGGAAAGGAAATTAAGTGTACTACTGAAACCCCTAAAGGGAATAAATAGCCTACGAGATGGGAGGATAAAAAAAAAAAATTTCAATACTTTCTCTCACAATGTTATCGTTGGGTAATTGTGGGCATCAGGGAGCCGCTACTAATATGCAGGGCATTGAAACCTCTTTCGAATGTGCGCTCTCATTTCCCTTTCACTTTCGAGATTCGCGATCACACGGACTCTATACTACGGAGCAGCAGTATTTACCACACATTTTACAAGATTATATATCTGTCAGTGGTGCTCAGTATCTGCAAATCATTTGCCATTGTCCTATGAGTCATCTCTCCTTACTCTGTGTATGTGGTAAGTGAACTTTCATGTACTGTAACGGTCTACTGCTAGCAAGCGGCTAACCATGTCCCTTTAGTGGCTCCGTAGAATGCGTTATTTGTTTTCCGTGCCTTTCTACCTACGGGTTCACGCTTCGGGCACCCCCCCCCCCCCCCCCCCCCCCCCACCCCCCACCCCCACTGTGCCTTTCTACATACGGGTTCACGCTTCGGGCACCCCCCCCCCACCCCACCCCATCTCATCGTACATCACGATGTTTCACTGTAGACATCGTCCGATGCCAATTTGGTAGACATAGCCCAACCCTACATGCCACAATCTTTTTTTTTAAAGTGAATTTATACCTTTGCATAAATATTATCATTGTTTTGATGATTTGAAGTGTGTGTTGGCATATCTTTTGGCATGCATACATGGTGTTTTCAGAGTTTTGTGTTGGTGGGTGTTAGTAGTTTTTTTTTTGTTTTTTTTCTCATCTTTATCATTTTTTTGCATCCCCAGAAATTGGAGTTGGATCGGTTCATGTTATATGCCCATGGCCCTGACCTGTGCAGGGAGTCAGACCTCCGACATGCCATGGCAAACTGTTTTGAGGCCCTCATAGGTTAGTGCTTTATCGTGTATACTGTCTGTCTGTATTTAATATACTGTATTTCCACTCACTGATGTCAAATTGTTGATTTTGATTTTTATGTTGCAAAGTTTCAGATAATTAGTTTGTGTTTTGTAAGAACACATTTACCGAATGTTGTAAATACTGCCCTAGGTGCATTTAGATAGTGGTTCTTAACTCTGGTCCTAGGGATCCAATACTTTACACATCTTGTGTTTCACTTAAGCCAGGCATGCACTGTATGATTTCAGCAATGTTTTTTAAAGGCCAACTCTCATTCTACAAGTAAATTGCAATGTAAAACCAAAGCTCACGATTTATGTGCTCACACAATACGGTCTGATCATCAAACTGCGTCTTGACTGCTCAAACTATACGTGTGAAATAAACACATGGGACCCCCAGAACCAGCCTCCATTGCTTCCGTCCATACCACACGCCATGTCGCCATGGTTTGATTTCTGTTTCCGCATCATGCAATTACGCAGGGAAAAAATACTGTGTTAGGGAAATTGGTTCGTAGCTTTGCTTCAACTATAGGGTGACCATACGTACCTCTTTTCCCCAAACATGTCCTCTTTTTGGAACTAAAAAAATGTCCGGCCGGGATTTCTAAATCACCCAAAATGTCCGGGATTCGGCTTTTGCTTTCGACACGCTGTTCATTGTGTGCATTTTTGTATTAACTATCCCTCACTCCCGACCATCCGATTGCCGGTTGCTAGAGGTTAATCACCTCTTGTTAGCCCCTGTTACTGCATGACAAACAACACGACAAAGCTGAAAAACAAAAGTCTTACAACTTTTCTGATGAGTTGATGATTTGAATCATGCCTTATACAAAATCTGCAGAGCCGGAGGTGCGAAGATATCCCATGAAGTCACTGAAAGTAATTGACATGTTTGATATTATAAAGCATTATTTTGCACTATAAACCTCAAAAAAAGAATGGTAGTTACTAGTGAGGGGCCAAATTTCTGCAAATTTTTGGCTTAAACTGAAAATTGCTGTTCTTCGATTTTTCAGTTGCCAAAATGTCAGTGCATCATTAGTAACTCGTGTCCTTTTTTTAAGGCTTTTTGTACTTAAAGCACATTTTGGTCATTTTAAGAGCAAACTAATATCCACGTTTTTCACAGAACGTGAAGATCTACACTTTGTTTTTGAAAGAAGATTCTTTTATGTCCACCTAGATTGCATGTATTTGACTGGAAGGTCAAAAACAGTATTCTTGTAATATATTATTACAATAATACAGTGTCCTTGCTTAATAAATGCATAATTTCTAATTTAAAAAGAAACGCATTGATTCTCAATTTTTTAATAGTAGCACATTTGTTTAAAGTGTTTGTTTTTTTTTCCGTAGGGGCCGTTTACCTGGAAGGTGGTTTAGAGGAAGCAAAGCAACTCTTTGGGAGACTGCTGTTCAACAGTGAGGTGAGATTTATGTGTATGTTTGTAGGACTAAACTAATTTTAATTAGATTTATTATAGTGAGCCTTTTAGACTGTAATGTAAGATAAAGAGTGTTGTGTTCCAATATAAAGATTTGACATTTAAAACTAACTGGGTTAAATAAGTTTAAATTTGTTTTTAAAATTTAAATATAAATGATAATAACTTGGTCCTCAAAAGTAGTTTCTGTGTTTTGAGTCGGTCTTCTACCCATACTTTCTCCAATATCATTTATAAAGTGTTAAAATACTTTCATAAGAAGTCAAAATAATCCCATTCAATCATTATTTTGTCTGATACTGCTGTCATTTGCAATACATTATAGAGAACAGTCAGGTTTTTTCAGCAGAACTTTTCTGTTTGGTTATGATGGAAACAGAGAAACAGTAAAGTGACAGCATAAAGAGCATAAATATAATTTATTATGATCTGAGTGTGACTCTGTTGCTGTCATTATTAAATAAGTTAATTGACTGTAGCTTAAAACAACTGAAAAAATGTCCTTGGTATCACACAAAATAACAAAAACTTTCCCCCACAAAAAACATTTTGAGTCTGAATTGTCATATACTCTTATTCTTCTCAAATGGGCTGTCATGTTGTATTCAATTTGTTTCCTCTCTTTTTGCCTTGTAGGATCTGAGGGAAGTTTGGCTCAACTATCCACCTCATCCTTTACAGGTGTGAGCAGAATTGATTTTCAATGTTCAAATGTCATGCACAAGTGTAAGACAGACACATACATACACTTTCTTCAGCCACCTAGCTGAATAACTAGAAGAATAACAAAGTTCAGTAACCGGTAAAACTGCTACAAACTGATTTATGATCGTGATTATGATCATGATTTGCAATGTCAAACAGCATAATGGAATCTTTTTTTTATTCAGCCAAAATAACTGGAAGTGGCTAAATCAGGAAACCTTGCACATTCAAGGTCTAAATGGCCATGCCCACTCTTATTTGAATATATTTTTCCTAAAATATGCGTTGATTGAATTGTGCAGGGGAATTTAAAGAGACCGTTTACCCAAAAATTTTAATTCCTTCATTTACTTAACTTCATGTTGTTCCAAACCCATAAAACTTTAGTTCATCTTCAGAACACAAATAAAATATTTTTAATATTCTCTCATCATATTTGTTCATCCTTTGAAAATCCACATAACCAATATTTTCTAGACTCAAAAAGAACATAAAAACATCATAAAATAAAAAAATGTAAGAACTTGACACACGAGAACCAATGAGGTGTGTTCTCCAGGGCGTCAAGCATGTTTACCATAATCAATGTTTATATGTGAATAAAACCTAAAGTACATATATTCATCGTAAAAGGGATTGTATCTCTTCAGAAGACTTGAATGAGAAAAAAAAATCTTTGTCTTTGTGAATTTAAGCTGGAAAAATGTTGAGACTTTCAATGGATGGGCAAAAATAGAGAATATTACAGTATTTTAATTTGTGTAAGGAAGATTTATGGGTTTGAAACTACTCGAGGGCGAGTAAATGATGGCACTGAAATGATTTGTGTTTTTTTTTAACTGAGGCTGGCTGTAAGCTTCAGTGTAGTAATATAATAGTTGAGATTATTTAATGCATAAAAGCACACGCTCTGTTTAGGTGCAAGAGCCACTGACAGACAGGCAGTTGATCGAGTCGTCTCCAGTTCTGCAGAAACTCACTAATTTTGAGGATGCCATTGGAGTGCTGTTCACTCACGTACGTCTCCTTGCACGGGCCTTCACTCTGCGAACAGTGGGCTTCAACCACCTCACCCTGTAAGTGCTCTAGTGCCTCTGTGACTTTGTAAAATCTTCTTTTTTTTTTTGTACAAATGGAACAGTTTATTGAACATTGACAATGTTTTTTAAAATTGCAAAACATTTGCATATATGTTTTTGTTGGGTATCATATTTGATACATCAGGTTGTGATACAACAGTGTCTGTGTTCACATGTTGAACCCACAGAGACAGAGGCTGTTTTTCCACAGCCAGGAACTACACAACAGTAATCTTATCATTAGTTAACTATATAACTAGTGCTTCATGCAGCCGCTGTATCTGTTTGCAGAGGCCACAACCAGAGGATGGAGTTCCTGGGAGATTCTATCATGCAGCTGGTGGCCACTGAATATCTGTTCATCCACTTCCCAGACCATCATGAAGGACATTTGACAGTTAGTATATCCGTCGTCTGTTCTTCATTTCATCCCAAGATTGGTTTGTTTTATTTCCGTTTTTTTTTTTTACTCCCAATGATGCATAGTGTCCGCTACAGTAATCTTTAATAGCCATTTTTACCTCTTTAGTGTGTGATGGTATATTCAGATCACCATGAATGATGACTTTTGACCCTTTCTCATAATTCTGTATGAATGTCATCAATATGACAACATAAAATCAGCATGGGTAAAGAAATATCCTCTAGAATGTCTTCATGTGTCTTGTTTTCCAGAAGATCAGGCATACTCATGTACGTGTAATGTATTTGTTGTCATTTACTTTCCATGACTATAAATGTGTTTGTGTACTGTAGTGGATATGTTATTTTACAGGGTTCATCTATTTACTGGACATTTCTACACAAATGTCTGTTCATGTCTATTGTGAAATATTTTAAATACTTGAAATATTGACATTTCTCAACTTTTAAATGTTCTCTGACACTCTTATTGTTTTTCTTTAGTCTGCTTCAATCTCAGAATTAGAATGAGTTGAAATTGCCTGCTCTGCTCCGCTCAGTCCATTTGAGTGTAAATATACCTTTAGCTTTTAATTTGGTTTCCTGTGCCAACAAATTCCCTGGTTAGCCTACTCTATCTATAGTGCAAAAATCCAGCCTTTTCAGTCACTGTGCCCCCTCTTTTCTGGTTGGTCAGTCCGTATAAAGCCCAGAAGTATAAAGTGTGTTTGTGTGTGATTTGTAGCTCCTGCGCAGTTCCTTGGTGAATAACCGGACTCAAGCGAAGGTTGCAGAGGAATTGGGCATGCAGGAATTTGCCATCACCAACGACAAGACCAAACGGCCTGTTGCCTTGCGGACCAAGACTTTAGCCGATCTACTGGAATGTAAGTGTGACATGGCACACTTACCTGGCAAAGGACGTTTGATTTTGTTGAACTATAACAGAAATTGAGAAATATAATATAAAAGGACACTTTTTTTTCTCATTATAACTAGCTAAATAAAATCAACATTCTGTAAGAGCTCTGGGATTTGTAATTTATTTTATAAATGATTATTTATCTTCTGTTCTGGAGGATTATTATTCCTAATATTCCCAGTCATTTTATATCCATTTATTCTAAAGTTCATAATGCTTATTGTCTGTATTGCTATAAAATTCTCTCTCTTTTTTTCCTCCCCAGCATTCATTGCAGCTCTTTACATAGATAAAGACCTGGAGTTTGTGCACACATTTATGAATGTTTGCTTCTTCCCACGACTCAAGGTATGGCAAACTTAATTAGAGGTTAAATGATATATTTTTACATATATTTATTCGCCTACACGTTATCAATCACTGTAACAATGATTTTGAATTGACCAATTTTCAATGTCAGAGGCACATAATGAAAAAATAACATTTATTGAAAAGAATGAGGTGACATTTATATAGGACATGGTCTTGTATACTGACAAGGCTGTTTTTAATCATCTTTGTGTACATGCAATGGACATAATTTTTTTTCGCATCTTGTGCAGTGGGCACATTTTTTAAAAGAGACGGTGTCAAGTTAATAGAAATTAAACTATTTTAAATTTGGAATGCCCCTTATTTAAAACAATATGGTTATAAAGCAGACGGCTCCTGTCAAAAAGGAAATTGTCTTTTTTTTTTCTCTGTGAGAATTCAGAGAAGTGATTGAATTATACACCCTCAACATAAGTACATAAATTATATAAATGATATAAAATCACACCTGATACAGCACTGCAGGCTGAATTTAAAAAAAAATATGCTTGAACAGGATTCCAAGTGAATCTGACATCTTAAGCATTGAAAATTTGTAGACATTGGGAATGATCTAATGAAAATCATAATGTAAAAGGATTTCATCAGCAATAAACACCTGAGAGACACAAACCGGGTTTTAGTCTATACATCCACTGGCATGGAAGAAACCTCCTCAAAGTGCTCAACTGATGTGTGCAGGTTTTTTCGTTTTGTTTGTATATAAAAACTGTTTAACTTTCAATGTACTGCTGTTTGATGATTGTTTCAGGAGTTTATCTTGAACCAGGACTGGAATGATCCAAAATCGCAGCTGCAGCAGTGTTGTCTAACCCTGCGGACGGAGGGAAAAGAACCAGACATTCCTCTATACAAGTAAGAAGCTACTGTCCATTAACTCTTTCCCCGCCAAAGACGAGTTTTTACGGCTTTTTGTGTTTTCACTGTTATACACTCGGGGGCTCTATTACACATCTTCTGAATGAGTACAAAACCTCCCGAACAAAAACACACATGAACAGGACAGAGAAACGAGCGATCTCTTATGTAAACAGATGCATATGAAAAATAATGCGATCATCAGCAATAGACAGCATATAAATAAAAACTGCATAATGTTACAGAGTAAAATGTTGATCCAGGAAGTGGAATATGTCTGTGCAAGCTTTGGAGGTGTTGATGGAAGCGATTTACTGGATTTATGCTTTGATAATCGTACTGAATATTATCCAGATGTAGTTTTTGATCATTTTATTTTCTCACCTTTTTTCTCAAAGTTATGTATTTTTTATGAAACTTACCTATATTCAAGTGTTGATAAAAAAAAGAATGCTTTAAGCTAGAATAAAATAGATTTTTTTTGTTTAAATGTAGAGGCTCTGGTCTTTATTTTGGTGTATTGCATATTTAAATATTCATACAGCAAAATATACTGGAGGCCATCAAATTTTAGTGAAAATCATCAAAATCGCTGGCGGTAGCTGGCAACTT